TTATGATTGTGGTGTTTTGGTTTTCATTGTTGTTGTTTATTTTTTATAATCTCCTGGGTTCCACAGTACAGAAATAAGCTCTGAAATATTTCTTTCAGTGAGTTCTTGAAGTGAACTCAGCATTCAGCTTCAGTGGCTGAATTGTGTGTGAAGTCTGCCATTATTGCCTTTAAGAGGTGCTGTTTTCTGTGACTTTGCACAGTGTAGGCAGAGACAGATAGTGTATTACTAGAAACAGCCATTTCTTCAATCAGAAAACGTTTTCTGGTATGACAGATAGTAGATAAGTTTGGATTGAGAGAACTGAGTTCATAATCCTGGAAAAACAATGACCTTTGATGCAAAGGAAGAAGGTATACAGCATTTTTCTGAACAAATTGCTCAATATTCATTTTAAGTCTCCACGTGTAACATATACTAAACCTCTTCAGAATAATAACGTGACATTTCTGATCTGCAGGATTTCAGATTCAAGAGTCTGCCATCTATGCAAAGATAATCAAAGCAGCCTTGGACCAAAACGACAGCCATCTCTCAGTCCACCCAACCATATTTGGAGAGAGACACACTCCTCAGCAGTTGGCTTCAGTGACCAGCATTGCTGCCTCTGAGCTCTCCCTGGGCCACGTAACCAGAGCTGTGTGCAGGGGCCTCGTTGAAAACCTCTGTTCCATGCTGCCAGTGCAGCGCCTGCTGGAGACAGGAGTGCGGAGAGTTCTGGGGAGCGGGAGCGCTCTTGCCAGGAATGAGGTGCTGAGGCAGGAAGTGGAAAGGATTTTTCCGTTCCCTGTGGTTTATGGGAAAGATGTTGATGCTGCTGTGGGGGCTGCCATGGTGATGTTCCAGGGAAAATAAATTACTGTTTGGAATGGCCTGAGATGCGTCATCTTTTTTTAATTATTATTATTTTTGTTCTCGGCTGTTCAGTGTTTCCTTTCACTTCCTTGCTTTCTCTGGAGTTGCGTTCAGCCTGCCATCTCACTCATTACATTGAAAAAAAAACAGCTTGCATTTAATGTCTGTTTGTGTGTGCACAGGGTCCTCCATTTCCTTGTTCTGTAATTCCTGCTTGTGAAATAAGTAATCATCACATTAAATTTGACTGAGTCACTAGGAAAGAGCCCTTAACTTTCTCCATAAAATGATACTTCATGCAAGGCTTGTTTTCTGGTAGGAAGTGTGTTTGGGAGGACTGGGAGAAACAAGCAGCAACTTAACATGATGCTTTCATTAGAGACTTTTTATTCTCAAGGTCTTTCATAGTATACATACAGCATGACAACAGAGGAGGATCTCAATCTTATTTAAGAAGCTTGGTGGCACCAAGCCACCAAAGCTGTGGGATGCACACCCAAGAAAAGGGAATAAATTCCTTCTTGTTTGTTTCTCCTGCTTTTGATCAGCTTTGGCACATTCTGATGAGCAGAATCACAGAAACACCAAGGTTGGAAAAGACCTACAAGAAGGTCCCTGTGGAGGTAGAATATGTCACTGACAACTATTGCAGAAAGTAATGGAGTGGCTGCTGGTAAGAAAGAAGTAACATCTTCACAGGAAACAGAAATCAAGTAGGCTGATGGGGGAGACATCAATGCTCAGAAAATGCCAGAGAGCTCCCATAGTGCACACATCAGAACAGGGCAAGACTGAGAAGAGCTGATGCTGGAAGTGGGAGGAGAGAAGGAACACTTAGCCAAAGCAAGAAGCTGGAGACTGAGTGAGGGAGACCTCCTTGTAGTTTTCTTACTAAGCCCTGCGCTGAAAATAATGAAGGAGTTAATCATAATGCTGAAGCAGATGCTTAGCTCAGCAAAGTTCCAGGACGACCAGCCAAGAACCTGGTTTATTGGTAATCTGTATTTATGTATTAATGCACAGGCATTATATTTTATTTGTATATGATTCCACAGGGTATTTTAAGTAGTGTAATTAGTTTGCTGTTGAATAGACAAATATGTTATTCTTTTATATATGGATAGATGGTAGGACTAGAAAGATATCTTATGCTCTGTAATTTCATTCAATAATTTAATTATCTAGCTCCATAGCTCCAGAGCTGGAACTGGAGGTTTTTTCTGGCCTGACAGCTACAGCCTATTGACTTAACCTTCTGGAAAAACTCTCTAGGCTGGTCTGATGGAAAGATCTTATATGAATGGTACATTTAGCAATATTTGACACAGTTCTTCATTTTTAAGGGTATTAGATCCATTTCTGATTCAATTGTTCTGTTGCTATTGCTGTTGTTTTCCTGATGACAACACTATTTGAAAGCTTACTGTTCCATATGTGTTATTTAATTAAAGCATAATAGGAATGTGGAATGATAGAATGTCTGTAGGACTTTCAGTTGGGTTCTCCCTCCACTCTCTTCAGAATCAGCTTGTATGTGAAATACTCTATAGGGCTTTGCTGCAGCCACTCAAGAGGGCTCAGAAAGATGAATAATCTCAGAGAAAAGCTGTGGCATATTTTACAAAGTTTTGTGAAGTGAAATGAAGCTGTGAGCTGCAGGAACAATTGCTGTTTGATGGTTTGGGCTTTTTGCAAGCTTGAATGTATTTACAAAGAGGAAATCTGTAGAAGAGTATCCATTACTAAATGCAATTAGTGGGGGAAAAACAACAGCAACTTGCTGTGATTCTTGTAAAGAGCTTTGCTGAACTCCTGGGAATAGAAGCTACTGATGCTTCTGGTTCCAGAACTGTTCTTAATGGTTTTATTACTCTATTCCCTCTTCTACTGAACTTCCCTTGATTCTAAAAAAAAATAAAATCATCTGCACATAGAACGATTGAATGATAGAACGAACATAGACAAATGGAGTGGAGAAGCAAACTCTGAAGTCTTTGCAGCCCAGGCACCTAGGAGGAGGAATCTCTGGCACCAAATTCCTGTAGAACAGAGGGCGTTTACTGAGACTGTTTTGCAGAAGACAGGATTTTTTTGCAACATTTGTAAGTTCTGTACATGTATTTGAGTAGTATGCTTGCTAGTTATTTGTAAGCACTCTATTATTTATCTTAAGTTGTGATTCAGTTAGACATTGTAAAAAAGTGTTTCCTTGTTTATCGGATCAAGCTTTAATTACCTGGGCTTCAAGAGTTAGGTGGGTTACGTGTTTTTCCAGGAGATGTATATTTCTTTCAAGAATATTTCTATAGAATTTGAATGTTGGGTTTTTTTTTCCAAATTCAAACTGAAAAGGAAATGCAGCTTTGTCTGCATTATCAGAGATACTGACAGTGGGCATTAGAAATAGAAGCACATGCAGTAACTGAGACAGGTTTGAGTAAATTGGCAGGAAGACAAGATTAAGGCTGTTCTGCTTATTCTAATATTATAGATATTCTGTGTAAATTACATGATTCCATTTTGCATAGCCATCTCCCTGATGCTTTTGGCTTGATTCACGTTGATTTAAGTGAGACTAAAATTAAAAATCATACATGTCTGTATTCCTACTATATTTTTTTCCTTTTTTTTTTTTTATAAAAGTATGTTTGTAACTTTTTACTTACTGTGCTTGTTCTTCTGTACTTCTGGTATCATGTTCCAAGGGAGAATATTTTTCTATAGAGAACTTCTTACTTACAGAACAGTTAACAAAAAACGGTTATTCTTTCAGGGTGATTGGACACAGGGACACAGAAAACTTGAAAGGTGAGCCCAGAAGACTCAGCAATTTGAATTGCAGTCTTTAGTGTTTCATCTGTACTTTGCTGTTTTGCTTCCAGTTACCCTAAATGTGCAAATTGATGTTTTATTTCCACGTATGTTATAGAAAATGGTAGGAAGTGCAAATGCCTGACAAGTCTCTTTCCCATCCTGCTTGGAAAGGAAAAAGTGATTCTTAGTGTAAATATTATCTCATGCCATGCATGAGTTACAGTGCAGCTTTACTGTATGTTGTAGGTTTGCAGATGATCCCTCAGAAGGATTTTATGAAGAGAAACAGCCTTGAAGCTTATTTATGTTGAATTCAAACTGAATGTACAGAGATAATTGTTGATGACTGGTATTGGTGTATAATTGAAAGCCTTTTGAAGATTTTGTAATGCTTATGTTCATAGCTGTAAGATTTTGTAGCAATCTAGAATTGTAGAATTTGATTCTAAAGCTATCCAGTTCCCTCTTAAAGCCAGCTATGTAGTAGCTCTGGTATGATGTATGATGTATTCCTGTCTCCACTGGATTTCCAGAATATTTCACATTCAGTGATGTGAACACTAATATTTCATTGGTCAAAGCAGTTTGATAAGAAAGACAAAATCCCTATTCTACCTTTAGTATGGCATATTTGTTAACTTGTGTCAAGCTCTTTGTGGTTGTAAATCAGACAAGATCAAACCTGTGGTCTTACAGTCATCTTTTATCTGCGGTAAACTTTTCTACTTCCTAGTCTTGTGTTTGAGGCGACACCAATCTCACAAGAGCTACAAGCCCCAGTTTTCATCTAGCACTGCTGTAACCCTGGTAAAGCCACTAAGTGATACCCTTCCAAAAACAGGAAGCCCTCTCTGCTCAAGATCGTTAAGATATGATTACAGCACAAGATATCAGGCTTTTATCACAGGCTTGATGTACTCCTGAAAATATATTGTGGCACAAATCAGTTAGAAAGCAGAACATAAATGCAGAGATTATTTGTGGTCTGAAGTTCAGGCCTTGACAGACATTGGATTTTAAGCAGAAGTGACTGAGTTTGCAGTGAGGTGGCTGGCAAGCTCAGGTACACTCTGGTTTGCTTTCTCTATTCTGAAATGAATGGGGCAGTGGAGACAGTAAAAAAAAAACAAAACAGCATAGGGATAACAACCTACTAAACTGCCTGAACTCTAAGCATAGTGAATATGTGTCCTGTTTCATTTCTGAGATGAGACAAATCAATTAATTCCTGGCTGTTTCTGGAGCCCGATCCTAGGCAAAAAGGGACTTGTGGCACTCTAAAATGCTGACCTGAGGTGTTTGTGTGGTTTGTTGCAGGCTGCATGTTCATCATGTCTTCCATTCTTGAGAAGATGAAGAAATTTGGCAGTTCTGACATAGAAGAATCTGAAGTGACAGATGAACACACGGATGGGGAAGACTCTGCATTGGAAGCACCTGACAACCTGCAGGGTACATTCAGCAGCAAGGTGCAGCCATCCAGAAGCAATATCTTTGCGAGACGTGGACGATTTGTGATGGGGGATAGTGACAAAGACATGGCTCCAATGGATTCCTTTTACCAGATGGATCACCTGATGGCACCTTCTGTCATCAAATTTCATGCCAATATGGAGAGGGGGAAACTTCACAAGTAAGTTTGCCTTTTAAAATGTGGTTGAAATGAGTACATTTTGGCAGTCGTAGGCTGTGCTACTTAGAGCAGTATTTATTGTCTGCACATTTGCGTGCCTGTCTTCTCAGTTTTGCTATTTTTGGTGCCTAAAGTAAGGAGTATTTTGCTTGAAATTGATACTAGCTCTCATCATTTCGCATCTCTAAAATTCCAGCCCATGAATCTTAATGATAAGATTTAGTTCGCACGCTTGAAACTGCTCAGTAAATGGACATTGCTCAGAATAAGAACCTGGTACTGCCTGGATCCCACACCTGCAGTTAGGCTGCTGTACTTCAATGCAACGTGAAGTCTTGCTTTCAACATTTCAGCAGCAAACTCCTAATTTTATCAGAACAGTTGCTATCAGATGTTATTGATCTTGTGCATTTTGGAGATCCATCTGTGCTCATCATTGTACTTGCTATTTTACACAAGCAAATGAAAAATAGTTGTGTGGTAGTTTATAAAAAGCCTGCTAAATGCCTGGTTTCAGTAACTAAAATTTACCCTGTTAGGCTCCTGTCAACAGATTCCATCACAGGCTGCTCTGAAAAAGCTTTCAAATTTTATGACCGCAGAAGGATCTTTGATGCTGTAGCCCAAGGCAACACAAAGGACCTGGATGATCTGCTGCTCTATCTTAATAGGACCTTGAAGCATCTCACAGATGATGAATTCAAAGGTATCACATAATGTCACATACCTAAAGATGCCCTTGTCCTCTTCCAAGACTACTCCTGAGACGTGTAACAGGGTGGGGGGAATAAAAACTTCCTGCACAAAACAGCGTTGTTAAATGTAAACTAGCTGTAGAGGGTCCTCTGATAGCCTGTAGTTCCTACTGATTAGGCAGTCCATTGATTGAAAGGCACAGAATGCAGAAAATTGATGTTTTCTGTGGAACTTTGGCTGGATTTTCTTGTCTTTTCAAAAGAACCACATTAATTCTTGCATGCTTGGGAGTAGATGATGAGTTCCTAGACATTTCTGTGTAGCTGTCATTTTGTTCATTATAGAACCAGAAACTGGGAAAACCTGCTTACTGAAAGCCATGCTGAATCTACATGATGGGAAAAATGATACCATTCCCTTGCTGCTGGATATTGCAAAGAAAACGGGAACTCTGAAAGAGTTTGTGAATGCAGAATATACTGACAACTACTACAAGGGTAAGAAAACAGAGAATACAGTTGAAATAGTGAATACTCTTGCTGATAAGACTGGAAATAGGGCCAAGCAGGCCTCTCAGTCTTCTGTGTGAGGTGTTATGCTTGAGGAGGGAGTGCCCAAAAGTTGCAGTGTGTGATTAACAACCAGTGCATTCATGCTAGATCTGTCTTGTTAGACAGGTGCAATATTCCACCCCTTGTGACAGAGTGATTTAACAGCAAGTTCCAGGGGCTTCCATTTGCTGTTTGTGCCATCTTTTTTTGTTTAATTCTACAGTTTTGTAAGTCTACAGAACTCTCAGTTCCACCATCTAATGTGAAGCTGAATGAATTGTGCTGCTCTCAGTTTGTGTTAAAAGTTGAAGATTTCTTTCTGTCTCTGGTAGGCCAGACTGCACTCCACATTGCCATTGAGAGAAGGAACATGTACCTGGTTAAACTCTTGGTCCAGAATGGAGCAGATGTTCATGCAAGAGCATGTGGGGAGTTCTTCAGGAAAATCAAAGGGAAACCTGGTTTTTATTTTGGTAGGATTAAGCACATTATGAGCTTGATTGAATGAGTTATCCTAGCATTATCCCAACTGAAAGATATTAAATAATCCTGTTTATATGAGACTGGAGGCTTAAAAGTCATAAATGGATTGATCCATGACTTACTCCAGATATTTACTTCCCAAATATGAGTTCATAAAAAACACAGTAGCTGATGATGTTCATTGCCAGCTTGCTGTCTCCATCCTTTTATTTTTTGAGCACTTCTTTTTTGAGAGATTGTAACCTTCCACCACTCTTTATTTTGTGTTTTTATAAGCAGCCATGTTTCTCTAGTGCAGTTAAGCTGAAGAAAATGTGATAGCTGTTTGAATCCCAAGAGTTAAACAGAGACATCCACCTCTTCTCACGGTGAAAGCTGAAAATAACGTGGTCTCTTTTCTGTTTATGCATGTGTACTAGGCATTCTGACCACTCATTTCTTACCCATAGGAGAGCTGCCCCTATCTCTGGCTGCCTGCACCAATCAGCTCTGCATTGTGAAATTCCTCCTTGAGAACCCCTACCAAGCTGCTGATATTGCTGCTGAGGACTCCATGGGCAATATGGTCCTGCATACTCTGGTGGAGATTGCAGATAATACTAAGGATAATACCAAGTTTGTTACCAAGATGTACAATAACATATTGATCCTTGGTGCCAAAATAAATCCTATCCTGAAGTTGGAAGAACTCACCAACAAAAAAGGGCTGACTCCATTAACGTTGGCAGCCAAAACAGGGAAAATAGGGGTAGGTGAGCAAATGTGTCCAGTTATCCTTTACTGTGTTATGTGATACAGAGTACAAGTGGAACATTTATGCAGGATAGATTTTATCACTGCTTATTGCTAAGTCCTTTCTATTAAGAGGAATTAATATTGCAGTCCAACATGCAAAACTGCACAGTGCTTAATGCCTTTGAGAAGTGTGTGTGCATGCATGCATGTGCCCAGGTGGCACTACATACATACTAGCAGTATATAAGACAGCCCAGGTGGAAACAGAAAGTGGGTTTCTGCTATCTTCTGAACAAGAGGCCTGTACTTTTGATTGATGGATGGAACTCACCATCTGACAGTCTCCATTCATCATGACTGTATGCTCAGATGTATAACAAATATCTCTGTATTTCTCTGGTAGGTTTGAAACATGGATAATTGCAAATTGTATGTAGTAGAAAGTAATGAAATAAACTTTATTCTACATCTGCATTTTCCATCCACCAGCATACAGTGAGAAAATTAAATTTTTTTTATTCAGACTTCAATCTCTTTCAGTCCAGTCCAGTGAATTAACTTCAGCATAGTTAAACTGTGTTAATCTAAATAAAAGTATTCATCTGTTATGAAGATACTGAGGAACTAGAACTGTCAGCACTGAAATGCTGGTTGTGTTGTTCTTTTCAATTAGATTTTCGCTTACATCCTCAGACGAGAGATCAAAGATCCTGAGTGCAGACACTTGTCAAGGAAGTTCACTGAATGGGCTTATGGACCTGTCCACTCATCTCTTTATGACCTGTCCTGCATAGACACATGTGAGAAAAATTCAGTGCTTGAAATTATTGCCTACAGTAGTGAAACACCAGTAAGTATGTACTTCCTTGATGTTTATTTGCAGACTGGGGACTGCTGGAGAAGAGCTCTGTGTTCTACACAGTACATCTTTTGTGTCATTTCTGTGAAACAGCAACTTGTATTAGAGGAAGCATTTGCTAAAATTGAGCATCACTTGCTATTTTTAAAGCCCAGTGCATACGGAACCTGTCAAGGTTCTCCTCTTTATCTTTCCACTCAGAATCGTCACGAGATGCTGCTGGTAGAACCCCTTAACAGGCTGCTGCAAGACAAGTGGGACCGGTTTGTCAAGCACTTATTTTACTTCAACTTCTTCGTATATGCAATTCATATCAGCATCCTGACCACGGCTGCCTACTACAGACCTGTGCAGAAGGGGGAAAATGTATGTTGTCACTCTCAGTGCGTGATATCCCAGAGCAGCCTCCCATTTTCATGTGTGCTCCTAATGTCAGTTTTCTTCCTTTCCTGAAGGTGGGAGGGAGACTTTGATCTCGCTTGCTTTTCAGGCTAGACTTGCACCCTTGGTGCAGCACATTCAGAAATTTAGCTTGTTATCTCAGAAATGTAATTGTTTTCAGCTACTGGCAAGGACAGGTCTTTCCTATCTCTAGTTCTGCTGAATATCTCTGTGTTGTTTTACACAGCCTCCCTTCACTTTTGGTCACAGCACTGGGGAATATTTTCGAGTGACTGGAGAGATACTGAGCGTATTGGGAGGACTGTATTTTTTTTTCAGAGGGGTAAGATACTTGAAACTTTTCTTTTTTGCTGTAAGTGCAAGTGAGAACCAAACCCACCTTTTGAATTCATTGCCAAGATAATCCATGTTTTAATCTAGAGCTGCAAAGCTTTTTCTTTGCCCTGGTTAGGAGATATCAGGTTGCTAACAAGCCCTTGGTCTAAGGTACAGTTTTATCTATTGTGCAAAGAGAGACCTAAGAAGTCAATGAGCATCTAAACAGTTATGTTGGCCAAAATGTAAGAATGGAGTATTGCAAGTAGCCAAACCTGCATTTAAGTTTAGCTGTCCTAGTTTAAAGTCAGTCACCTTCCTCTTGGCAACCAATGGGGAATATGCAGTGACCAGTAGCTGAATAGACTGGAGTCACCAAAAGAGGTGAGGCCCAAGATGTAAGGGGAATGTTATGTTACCAAAGCGTCTCCCTTGCAACAGTGTTCTTTTAACTGTTCTTGCCAGATGTTGGATGGGTACCAGCTCCCTGGTATAGAAACCAATGCTTAGCTGATGTATTCACTTGGGATATTTACTCTCTCCTTGGATACAAAGTTAGTCTTCATTCTGTTTTTTTCCTTCTTTCTTTCAGATACAGTATTTTGTGCAGAGGCGCCCATCATTGAAGACACTGATAGTTGACAGTTACAGTGAAGTTCTTTTGTAAGTGCCTGTGTCTGTGATTGTATCTCAGCATGAAGCAGGTGACTGTGAGATCTGTTGCTTTGGCTTAAACCACTTCTAATTGGTAGACACCTTACAAAATACTTGCCAGTGGCTATTGTAGCACTTAAACAAGTGTGTCTGGATCAGTAATGTGGAGGTAAAGCTGATTAAGCGTTTAGAAATGTAGTGACTGCATCATGCAGCTGAGTTAGGAATAGATCTCCAAGTTGGACTTGCAGTGCAGTATATGCACTGGTTGTGCAGACATCCTCCCATTCCCGAGGGAAACTTTCATTTGGGCCCTTTGTTTTCTTAGAGGAGGTGCAGCTAAAATGGGCAATTTCGTGTGTCTGTGGAAGGACAGGATGTGTTAAAGAAATGAATGTCATCAAGGACTTTTATTCCCTTCAGTCAGAATGAAGAGCAAGAGTATATGAAAGTTTGTATGTGGGGAAACTGAAGAGCTTGCAAAGGAAACTGTAGGACTGGAGAAGGAAAAGAATGAATGGAAAAGAAAGGAAGGGTCTGCCAAGGCTTCTGTGCATTTAGTATGCTGTATATCTCATGTTTCTCCTCTGTTCATACCACCTATGACTGTCTCAGCACTCTGGATTCAGAACATACTTGTCTTTCAGCTTTGTTCACTCTTTGCTCCTCCTGAGCTCTGTGGTGCTGTACTTCTGTGGCCAGGAACTGTATGTGGCTTCCATGGTCTTCTCCTTGGCTCTGGGCTGGGCTAACATGCTATACTACACCCGTGGCTTCCAGCAGATGGGCATTTACTCTGTCATGATTGCAAAGGTCAGTACAGTGAGGGGGTGGTGAGGCCAGCAGAGTGCTCACAAGAGGAAACTGCCACCAGTGCCTGGGTTTCTAGGAGTGGAGTCACCAGGTGCTTTCGTGATGCCGTTGGAAAGCCCGTCAGACAACCACACTCAACTTTTATTTTCTGAGCAAAGACATAGACTTTTTAAGTCATAGAAAAAAGCACCTGTTCCACATCCATGCATTTTATAGCAGTCTTAATACCTTCTGTTACTGTTATGCTTTGAAGTAACTCTACAGTTGGATAGACATAGGTGTAAGTTGACTGAGAACAGTAGAGAGCTGTTATAGGAGGACTATAGCAGGACTTTCTGCCAGCTGGAAATTTCCTTAAGAATAGTTTACATGTTACCAAACAGAGCAGTTAAGTGGGAGGCAGTAACTGCTACTAAACCTCTGTATGATGTAGCCAGCTAGTCCAAGAGGGGAAGAAGGAGGCAATTATCTTAATGTGATTTATACTCACAAAGATGAAACTATTTGTTAAGCATGTGTCTTGCACACATGTGTAAACTATTGCTTGAATAACAGAGGAAAATGTTTTCTGTATTAAAGTTGATCATCTTGGCAGGATGCACAACAGTTTAATGCATGAGCAGCCACTTCACAGCAGTTGCCTTCTGGAACTGAAGGAATATTTTCAACCAACTTTTGTTACAGTTTATGTTCAAGGTTTTGCAATAGAAAAATGTTCCATTTCTATGTTACAGATGATCCTAAGAGACTTATGTCGCTTCATGTTTGTCTATCTAGTATTCCTCTTGGGATTTTCCACAGGTAATATCAAACTTGGAGTTGTTTTTTTTTATGTTATCTCAAAGAATCTCAGAAAATGGTATTTTTCAGTTGACTTAGAATTTTTGTTTTCAAAGAAAAACTAACAAATCAATCTTGTTACAAAAGTCTTTTCAGAATAACAGCTATGTGTGTGACTGCTTTTCATGCCTGGGTCTCAGACTGCTTAACAAAGCTGAATGGATAAACATTCATCCTGTTCTACGTAGACAGACCTGAGACAGCACTTACTGAAACGTGACAGTTATGGGGACTATTTTATAGAGCAGTTTCATTGGGGACAAGGTGCCATGAAAATATTTTGTCTTATCTGATACTTTCATGCTCATTTTTATTGCTTGCAATAGATTTATGTTCTCAAATTATATTTTCATCTTCTATGTGATTCTTCTTTTGCTACAGCTGTGGTGACTTTAATTGAAGATGACAATGAGGGGCAGGACACAAATAGCTCTGAATATGCCCGATGCAGCCATACAAAGCGAGGCCGCACATCCTATAACAGTCTGTATTATACCTGCTTGGAACTTTTCAAGTTCACTATTGGGATGGGAGACCTGGAGTTTACAGAGAACTACAGGTTCAAGTCTGTGTTTGTCATCCTTCTGGTTCTCTATGTCATCCTTACGTACATCCTCCTGCTCAATATGCTTATTGCACTGATGGGAGAAACTGTGAGCAAAATTGCACAGGAGAGCAAGAGCATCTGGAAACTCCAGGTATCTTGGTTCTGTGAGGCTATCCAAGATGGAGGTTGTGGAGAATTTAAATGTCATGCTAACAGAGGTGATGTTTCATGGATGGGTCTGATGCATGCTTTAAGGTGGTGATAACAATAAAAGTTCAAGATTTATTTTTCTAATTAAAGGCAGAGTTCAGGATTTACGTGACTGAAACAGCAGGTTCTTAGTGGTCTGCTTTGTTTTCCCTGTTAGAGAGCCATCACAATCTTGGATATTGAAAACAGCTACTTGAACTGTTTGAGGCGCTCGTTCCGATCTGGAAAGCAAGTCTTGGTGGGGATCACACCTGATGGCCAAGATGATTACAGATGGTGCTTTAGGTAACCTGCTTGTATGTCAAATGAGCAATCTTTTATAGACAAACAGCATTAAGTATTTGATAATGGATAATGGGAAGAACTGTCCCCTTGGAGCTCTCCTCCAACAAATGCCATACTACAGTAGTCAGTTTAATCTATTTTCTGGGTCAGACCTTTGGCTTGAGAGTTGGCAGTAGGTGATGTAAACTCATACTGGGGTTCTCTCTTAATGCTTAGAATAGATATTCTTTTTGTTGTTCTTTCCCCAGAGTTGATGAAGTGAACTGGTCCACGTGGAATACTAATTTGGGCATAATCAACGAAGATCCTGGGTGCTCTGGGGACCTCAAACGAAATCCCAGTTACTCTATTAAGCCTGGTAGAGGTGAGGGTTTCAGGGACCTAGATTCTAATGATAGAAGCAGTACAGATTTTTTGTTAGAGGGCAGTCTGTTTATACATTTAAGTATAATGATGGAAGCTAAGTTTATGTCTTTTTCAATCAACAACAAAATGTAGAGGACTCTGTGGGCTTATTATTCGCATAGCAGTTTTATTCTCTGGAAGAAAAGCACTATGGATTCAGCATTCTGACTGTTGATTTTATAAGGCAGATAATATGTGCAAATCCTGAAGGCTTGTGACAGTGTATGCTGGCAACCACATAGCCAAAAAGCTGCTTTGTAGGCCACAAGTATGGCTTCTTCAGGAAGCTTCCTTGGGAGTCCAGCATCCAGCAGAGAGTTGTTTAACTCTAAGACAATCTGCTGCGCTTGCCAGCTGAAGTATGGAAAACAGAATGTGGAAAAAATTCCACAAAGCCCTTTCTTCCTGCTTCTTTCTTCCATCAGCTTCCTGTTCAAACCACTTGTATATTTCTGTTTGTGTGGAGAAGAAATTAACCATTTTTTTCCTTTTTAGTGTCAGGGAAAAACTGGAAAACTTTGGTTCCACTTTTAAGAGATGGAAGCAGGAGAGAGGAAACACAAAAACTTCCAGAAGAAATCAAACTAAAACCTATTTTGGAACCTTATTATGAGCCAGAGGATTGTGAGACGTTGAAGGAATCACTTCCAAAGTCAGTCTGATTTTCTTTTGTTTTTAAGAAGAAGGCTAATTGTTTGTGTTGGTTCTTACAAGGAGGACAATTAAAACACTTCCTTCAGAAGAAGAGGGATTTATGGAAAAAGACCAAAGAAGTTAGGAAATGACTGTGTGCAAGGATTCATTAAGTATCCTGAATAAACTACTCGTTGTTTAAACTCATGTCTTCATGGTTATTTTTAATACAAATCTGAAAGAAAGTAGGTACTTACTGCTTGGTTTATATTTACTTGGCTAGATATTTGCATGTAGACTGACTTACAGAGTGTTAGACAATTCTTATAGTGTGGTGTGGGTTTGGTTTCTTTTGCTTTGCTTTACATTAAACACACTGAGAATTTCCTACAATTCAGAGCTGTCAGTAAGGTAGTGAGCTCTTTTTTGCTGCAGATTTTTTCCCATTCTTCACTTCTTTCACTCTTTGTAAGTGCTCTCATGCATTTTTGAGGTCTGAGCTGACATTCTCATCCTTAGCTTACAGGTCCTTCACTAAGTTTTGCAGATTGGTGCAAGTGGCCAGTAAAGGTGAATATTCCATTGATAATATGAAAATAACAAAAAGGCCTATAGAGAAAAGGTTGTCACTTGCCACCTATGTCTGCTTTTAGATTCTTTTAACAAGTGTTTGTCTGAGCAGCGACAGGCCCTGATTTCCTGACTTTCCAGCCTTGAAAACCAACTAGCTGTGTTATAATGGAAATGGACAAGAGCAGTAAAAATTACCAAGAGACCAAAGGTAGGTTGCTGTGAAGAATGTTTCTTGGAAAGGAGATAAATGGGGACACAGTGAAAGAATGGTAAGTAATGAATCATCTAAAGATGTGGTTAGCCTTTCTCATAACACAAGAACAAATACACTGACATTGTAAAGGTTGGGTAGTCAAAATGAACGAAATGTTTCTCTTACAGAGTCTGAGTAAACTCCAGAATATACAGTTACTGTTACTGAGGCTGAAGGCTTAACGAGATCCCAAAATTGACATTTATTTAGATAACAGGTGAACTTTGCATAAAGTAAGAGAGAGTGGCTATGTAGACTGTATGTTTCAAAGGTCAGATGTATAATAATGAATAACAGTAATTATTTTGAAATCAAAGGTTTTTTTGTTCTTGACTTTAACAGCAATGAAAGGAAAGTAGCTGGTCAGAAAGGAAGGATGAGAAAATCTGTGATAAAGATCTGACCCAGTGCTGGACCTGTGCAGCTGCAATGGGCAAGAAAAGGTAAATGACCTTCTTTCCTTTCTGTGTATCACTGAAGCACATATATATACCTAACAGCCTGTAATATGCAAATACAGTATGAATATACAAGTATCCTTAAGCCAACAAGTTTCAGTTTGAGCTTGTGTGTTGTTTCTGTGGCTGTGTTCAAAGTGCATCTGTTCTGAAGTGATATGCTAGATAGATGAGTAGCAAATTATTGAGAACATTGGAATTCAGAGAGAAAATTGTGCCAGCCCTTGAAAGGTAATTTTCATCAATGCATCTTAATTTTTTTTCTGCAGCAGTGCAAAATGGAGGCATTCACTGCTCTTAAAAAGAAACAATTGTGTTTACTGACAGACTTTTCTCCTCTGCTAACACTGCCAGATGAACTCTATGTTGTTTCTATTGTTCGTTCTTTTACTGAGGTCAGGACTTTTCTCAGTGCTGGTTTCCCATAGGCTACTGTAGATGGACTTCAGTGAAGTTTGCAAGCATCCAGCTTATTTGAAATAGTAGCACCATCTAGAGGGCTGTTAATTCTTGATCCTTCTGTTAATCAAATCACTCAGGACAAATGCTGTTTTTTTTCATAGAGTTTTTCAGAATACAGCCACAGAAACTTGCCAAAGAATTTGAAATAATTATTTAACAAAAATCAAAATGTAAACAAGCTTTGAATCTCACGATTAGGGAGACTACAAAAGGTGTTCAAAGTAGGGATGTTGAATGTCATACTACTCTCAAGGTGTATCTCTGAACTCCTGTTAGCAGTCTCTAGAGGTTCCAGTCAAGACTTCCTTATGTTCCTTACTGAATATAGTAAGAGACCGTCTGTATGTGAAACAAGTGCAGCTAAGTAAACAAGACAGGCTGAGGCAGTGAAACTCCAGCCATTAATAATAAATGTAGAAAGGGGCCAACCAGAAAAACAGAGGTCATTGTCTCCATGCCTTTATGTGCCAAAGCAAATTTATACTTGAATGCACACAGGGAACGTAATGTAGCTGGAAAGCATTTATGAAGTTTCTGTATTCTCTGTGAGGGATCCATTTGTCATAATTATCTGCCTGTGTGGAGACCTACTCTTAGTGGTTAAATTCCACCTTGATTTATATCAAGTGCCTACCAGAAGGATTTATTCACTTCCGTGGGTAACCTAAACAGAAGGTTGGTCTGTGCCTTCCTGTCCTTTTCTGCTCCAGCAAGATTACAGGGAGTGCAGGGGACTTTTTAATGAAAAGGAAATTGAAATGCAGAGTGAAAACACACATCCATATAATGAAAATGTGTATGTCATGTGTCTGTGGGATAGAGTGGTGCTGGTGGTCTTTTGGTTGCTTTCTTTTTTTTTTTTTAAACCCTTAGCCCTCTTTTGGAAGCAAAAAAAGAAAATTTTCATTTTTCTCAAGTAAGTTATTACTAACCTATCAGAATTTCTAGCTATATCACCACTTAGTTACTGCTGCAGGCAAGAGTTTGTTTCCCACAGCTGGGGCAATATAGCCTAGCAGGGTCTCTAACCTGGTGTCATGCACATTTATTTAGAGTAAGCTAACCATGGCTCTGCCACAGTTTTCTTCCTTCATCTTCATTCTATCTAAATGCACAGAAGTGCTTTGAAAATGAAGGTGCATCTCTGTGAAGGCAGACTGGATGGGATGCCTACAGGGGACACGCTGCTTCTGAAGAGACAAGGAGCACAAAGCCTTAGTGGAGGGCTGTGACTAACCCCCAGGAAAGAGAGGTGGCTCGTCAGGAAGTATTTGCTCTTTAAGAACAGCTTTGCTAGGACCAGATACTGCTGTTGGTACTGCTAGACAATTCCACTGGCTGACAAGAAGCATGGCTTTACAATAAATTAGTCTTTATTTCTATTTTTGGGGTGGAGGTTCAGCTCTATGCTGGCTCAAAAACAAAGGAAATGGAGTTGATGTGCTCACCTCATCTGTCTGTGAGTGACTGTAATTAGCAATACGTGTAAATAATGAGTGTAAATGTGCATGTGATGGGAGACAGCAAGAAGTGAGTTCATCTAAGGTGAGTTGGGCTTCACTTTACTGGGAATTGAAAATGGGCTGATTAACATGTGTAAAAGCCAAACGTTGATCTGAGTATGCTACAGCACTGCCATACCTGAGATGCAACTTATGCTTAGTCAGTCACATAAGCTGCTGCATCTTTCAAATTCCAATAATTTCTGAATTATTTGAGGAAAGTATATAAATTACCTGAAAAATGTGGAGCCACATAACCTGTATTATGTACTTATTGTGCCCTCTGCAGCAGCTGGCATTGTAGCCCTCATCCCACTTGTCCTAATTAAACACCAACGTTAATCCCTTCTCAGGCAGCGCATTGTCAGTTTTTGGTGGGCTCCATGGGAGCCTGCACAGCCCACCAGAGGGCCCCCACGCTGTGTGCAGAGATCCTACCCAGTCCTATAGCTGACTTGCCCCAGGAAAACCCTTCTTCTCTGACACCACTGTCCTACTCTACTGCCCCCAGTCACATTCATCATGCAGGATTGCATTTCTCTTTGCCAAAAGCCAGGTAATACCACTGTCCTTCTGTGGCAAACATCTGTGAGAATGAAGGTACTTATGAGTCTTTCTTGCTCCACTAGGCAATAGGCAAAGATGTACTAAGGCCTGGAAGGAATATGTCTTAATCAATGCTGCCATATACAGCGTGAGCACTCTGGGTCTTATGATGTGGTTACAGAGCTCTGAAGTGCTTCCCATCACCCACACCATGCAGACTGGGATTCCTTCTGACTCTGGAATAGTTTCCACGGAGAAAATATGGACCCAATTTCATCAGATGTTAAACTGTACAAAAAGCTTCAGGATAGATGGTGGAGAGTACACTATTTTTTTGGGAAGGAAGGGCAATCAACCAAATGATCTCATGAGACTTCTGCCTTTCTGGTGTGTTTGTGATACTGTGGCAGAGCTACATCACTATTAGTAATGCTTCCTGTTTCAATATGCTGGCAATGAGAGGGTATGAAGAGACATGAATATTTACAAAATCACTGAGGTTTTCAGAGTCCATCATCAACCAAAATTGTACTTGTCTGTCATTGTTTTAATCAGCCTTCCTGAACGGTTTAGTCACCTGAATGTTGACATGAAAGGTCATGTCACCTGGAATTGCCATGTCAGCCGACTGTGGAGCAGCCCAGGAGAGCAACTCCCAGTGACAGGAACTGGGAAGAAGTGTGTCCTACTCACTCAGCCAGTAAGAGCAGTTTTAAGCAATGTCATCAAGTGGAAGTCATTTCTTTCCTAGGTGGTATAGTAGTGTAGCTCAGAGACAATTCCTCTTATTCCAAAGGAGAGTGGATAATGAACCACCCGGGGAAAAGGGATTGTGTCCTCAGTTTTTGAAAGTCAGGAACGTTTAATTGACGTAGAGAAAGACACAGGAAAGCCAATGTCCCTCAATAGCAGCAAGATTCAGAGTAGTGAAATTTAGGGCTGGAAATGGATAGAGGGTTCTCAAGAGACTGATTTGCAATGACAAATGGAACATCTCTATCTTAGCTAGGGTCTGTATGACAGAAAATGGAAGCACTGACAAAGGGGACAAAATCTGCATAATAAAAGATATTTTAATGAGAATAGTGGTTGAAATTGAGACAGGAAAATGTATCCTGGAAAGATGATCTATCCATGGGGCACGTGTGATGTGTATCTGCTCAGATAACTCCCTTTGGAAACACTAGAAGATTCAAGATTCAGCTCATGTGTACAAATACATGTCGTGCCACCCTGATTGCAGCAACATGGCACATGCATGTTTTAGCTCTCTTATTTTTGAAGTTTATTTCAATTGTTCAATGTTCTCCTTGAATTCTTCTTCACTTATTTCCCAGGAACAGCTTGACAGTAAGTGAAAGGGGCCTGCAGAGACTTCGTTTTG